AAAGCAGTCCCTTATATGGCACAAGAAATAAAAAAATTTGTACTCAAGGAATTGATAAAAATAGTACTTGATTTTAACAACAGGCTTGGATAGTCTGTAAAACAACCAATATCTTCTCTACTTCATAGTACTATATTATTTAATATTAATGCTAATAACAACACTAATATCCAATCATTCACCATCTCCAAGAGAGCATGAAGGACGTTGTATTACTATTGGTACCTACAGTTTTTGCTTATTATCTTATATGGGTGTAACTGTATGGTCTTAGTCTGCATCTACTTGTTCATTACTTTTTAAAAATATTTTTTGAGACAGGGTCTCATTATGTAGCCCAGGCTGGCCTCAAACTCAGTCATCCTCTTGCCTCAGCCTGCTGAGTACTGGGATTACAGCTGTGCGCCACCATGCCTGGCCTACTTACTCTTTAGCAGAGAAATTCTGCCGCATTGTTTCTGCTGGGTGGCCTTTATGGGTCCACACTGGCCAAGCTGGTTGTTAAAACACTTTGTCTCAATTGTCCTGGATCTTGTCTGGCCTGAGGCAGCCTGTTAAGCAAGGCTTCTTGCAGAGATTGCACATCCAGGACTCCAGGATCTGCAAAATAGCTGCTTCATGATTTATGGTGAAGGTGTGATTCCTGAGTGCCACTGGTCAATGATGATAAAGCAGATATCATCACCTCTGTAGATTCCTTTTGTTCTCTCAGTAGTCCCATTTAGAAGCACTGAATCAGGTATAAAGTGCTAGAAATGGAAATCCTTGGACTCTGTAGCTAATTGTAGGCTCCTCTTTGAATTTTGTAGACTAATCAAATGTATTTCAGATGTATCCACCTAATTTGTCTGTCTGGTCTTTCCCTGCGTGGGCAGATAAAATATTGCAGGGAACATAATACCAACTGATCAGGTCCCTAATTTTCCTTTTGTTTTCTTCCTTGGCCACTGTTATGGTTTGTGTCTAGATGCCCCTGAAAAGCCCCTTGCAATCATAGGGTTTTTTTTTTTATGCAGGTAGCTGGATCTAGCGTGTGTGACTGATTCATAGTACAATGCTGGAATTAAGGGTGTTGGGATTAAAGGTGGGTGATTGCTGGGCCAGTCCACTGATTGGACTGGCACTGCCCTAATCTTAGTAAACTGAATAAAATACAAGGGACAGAGAGAGGCTTGTCTTGCTCTCATTTGCTGCTTTTGCTGTCTTCTACTGCCATGAACTGTTCTCCCTCTGCCATATGCCATCCTACTTTGGAGCCAGCTGAGTATGGACTGCAATCTCCACAAACTTGTGAGTTAAGCAAACCTTTCTACATTTAACTTTGAGTGTCAGGTATTTTGCCTGAGCAATGAGAGCAAAGTAACTAAGTAACTAAGACAACTAAATATGCAACAATCCCAAGGAATGCTCATCTTTACTGTCAACATGTGGTCACACTTGCCTCCTTGATTGGTTACAGTAATTTTGCCAAATAGCATTGTCCTCTAACAACTAATAACTTAACTTGCTTTTCCATATTAAAATTGGAGGGGGAAATCATTATGTAGGAGATACTGAATATTAGATTGCAATGCCCAAGTATGTTCACATTTTTAACTTATCATGCAATATATACTTAAATTTATAAATCTCAAGATTTTTAGAGTGGTTTTTGTAGTGTGGTCTACAGTACCACAGCAGTATCACCTTGGAAGTTGTTAAAAATGCAAATTTTGGGCCCTTACATTAGTTTATGTGTATGCTTAATGATGCTGATGTATGCTAAAGTTTTAGAACTCTTGGCTTTAATATATTTCCTAGGATAAGCCTTTTGGTCCTGTCTTTTTAAAACACTACATAAACAAGTTACCCAACTTTTCGGAAAGCATTTAATCATACTAACCTTTTCTCAAGTATAAATTAATCAGATTAGAAGCATCATTTCCCTTGAAAGTGGGTATTCTCTAGCATCAGTGGCCTTATAAATTAAGGCCGCACTATAAAAACTGAAATGAAACATACGTACACAATTCTTAGCACTGAGCTGTTCTACTTTTGCACCAGAAAATATTCATATGAATATCCCTTAACATCACTTAGCAGAGAGCAGGGGAAGCTGTGGGAGTAGGGCAGAGGCACTTTTAAAAGTACCTTCTCAGAAAGGAGGGTTATATTGGATCATAGATAAAATGCTTTCTAAAGTATTAAGAAGGGGTGTCTATGCATTTAATGACTCTGTAAATCAGTGCTTTACCATTTTATTGTTGTTTTTATTGCCTGGAATTCCATCTCTCTCTGACAATGTTGGGGTAATTGTAGTAAGCATATTACCATACCAGTACATGATTAATTAGCTGACATTTAGTGCTTAATATGTGCCCATATATGAGCTAAAAATGGAATACTGAAAGCATGACCTCTGTTTCCTAACAAGGTTACTATCTATTTGGACTATTAGGAATAAAACTCATGAAACTTGAGCTCAGTAAAATAATGTGGTCAAAAGCAAAGAAGCCAGATCCAGACAGCAGAAGTGGGTGGTGAATTGACACAGGGGATTTAGTATTTATTTAAATGGCTTCAAAGAGCAGGTGGATCTCAAAAGATAGTTAAGACCAGTAGTGGATTCTTTGCAGAAATGCTCTCAATTCTTTTGTTTCCTTAATCTCTGCTCTTTGACAATACAAATTTTAAATTCTTCATATGAAGAGAAATAATCTGCTCTTCCACTCCTTGAATCTCAGCTGTCCTTGGAACAGTGACAAGTTGCTAATTCTGGGCCTGAGCTCAAAAGACTTCAGGAGCTCTGGATCACTCTCTTAGGCCATGTTCAGCTGCCATGAACAAGCCTACCACGTCTGCTGATGGATGAGACTCTATGAGTTGCGAGATGAGCTGTTTCAGTTGAGGCCACTGGAAACAGCCCTCAGTAAAGCACCCCCTGGCTGAGTCCAGTCCTAACGAGTTCTAACCTGGGCTAAATGAATGCATAGTTTTAGGACTATACATTTGGGAGTGGCTCATCCTGCAGTGACGGATAATCCATAGAAGCTCTGAAAGGTGAGGGGCAAAAAGGTTCTAGTGTAGAGTTGAACCTGCAAAAAAGTCAACAGTTAAAAAAATGTATGGTCAGCCTGCAGAAAAGTAGACTAGTAGGACTGATATATGACACACTTTCAATAGATAGGTAGGAGCACAGGGTTAAAGAGGACTCATACTGGAGGCCATTATATAGTGATCTTTTATTTTCTTTCTTTTTTTGGGGGGGGGATACTGAGAATTGAACTCAGAACCATAGGTTCAGGCACTGCTAAGCTATATCCCTTGCCCTGGTGATCTTTCTTGAAGCATTCCACTAGTGTGCAAGAAACAGGATTCCTTATCTGTTGAAACAGAGCATCCGCACCCTGTTTTTCCAAGCTACACTTTGAGAGAATGAGATATTCTTTTTTTAGGCAAATATAAGATGCCAAGAACAAAATATCTTTGGGGCTGACAATCTCCCTTTGTTTTTATATAAAATTATGAATGCTTATATACCACAATTTCAAGTAATGGCAACCTGTATAATCCCAGAGTAAAGATATTAAGACGTTAGAGTGCTTTTAAATTTTTCAATTTTTACACGGTGGACCTATTACCCATTTAACAACTTTACCTCCGATTTATTGGGTCATTAAATATATTTTTGACTGTAAAAGAGCATAAGAGGAAATATTGAAATGATAAAATGTGTTCTTTCTCTTATATGGTAGTTCTTGAAAAACAAAATACTCCTGGGATGTGGAGATTCTTCTTTTAAAAGTAGCTTCTTCTATTTGGCAGGACAACAGGGATAGGCTGGAGCAGGGACAGTTGAAGGGTGTGACTTTTTGGTGGAACAGTATTTAATCTACAACTCCTTGGGTCTGCAATCTTTTCTTCCACTAGCCACTGAAGTGCCTTTAAAAAATTAAAAAAAAAAAAAAAAAAACAAGATTGCGGCAAAGTGCCATAAACTTTCTACAAAATGGCCTGACTGATCAAGTATTTTACTCAAATTATGTTTCTGCCAGCAACCTCCCACATGTCCCCAGGTTGCGGTGAAGCAGGAATTTCACTAGCAGGCAGGGGTAGTGGAGATGGAAGAGGCGTCACACCTGAAGTGCTCCCCGCTGCTGGTGCGCTGGAAGGAGGAGTGTCACAAAGTTGTTTTAATTGCTGCTCTTGTCTCCTTCGAACATGTTGCTGCCTTTCCACTGTCAAGTCGCCAGTTTGCCTAGAACTTCTTTGCACCGAGGACCCGCACGTCCGGTGTCTCAGCCTTTCCCCTCCGCCGGCCTGCCGCCCGCGCCTGGGCTCCCTGCGCCAGCTAACAGGTCCCCGCTCCTCACCGGGAGGCATCACCTCCGGCTCCCCGCAGTCAGCGCAGCCCACTCGGCCCGCCGCCCGCCGCCGCCCGCCGCCCGTCCTCCGTCATGGGGAAGCGCCGCGCGGCGCGAGTTCGCAGCACAGGTAAACAGGCTGGCGAGGTCCCCGCCGCGGCCGCCCGGCGACTTCCAGGCACGCAACCCCGCCTCCAGGGCGCTCTCCCCGGCGCTGTCGCCCCGCCGCGCGCTCGCAGCGCCAGCCGCCGCCGCAGCATCACTTCACACAAAGAGCTGCTCCCCGCCGAGCGGCTCCCCCACCTCCGCCCCTGCCGCCGCCGCCGCCGCCGCCGCCGCCTCCTCCTCCGGTGACCGCGGCCGGCGGCCGAGCCTGGGCGCGCGGGCGGGGACCGTCACTCCAGCACGGGGCGGTGGCAGCGGCTTTTTTTTTTTTTTCCTCCTTTACGCTTTTGCTTTAAATTTTCCCCCCTTATACCTCCTGGTTTTTCTGTGGTCCCACCCATCTCTCCCCCTCCTCCTCCCACAAATAACTCTTCTCCCCTCATAAACAAATAAAAGGAGGAGGGTGAGGGAGGGGAGGAGTGGCGGGGGGGGGGAGGAAAAGGAGCAGCGGCGCGGCGGAGCAGCAGAGTCCGAACCGACAGCGCGGAGCCGCGCGCACCTCGCACCATGAGATGGCGACGCGCCCCGCGCCGCCTCGGGCGTGCCGGCCCCCGCGCCCCGCGCTCCGGCCCCGCCGCCCGCTCGCCGCCGCTGCTGCTGCCGCTGCTCCTGCTGGGGACCGCGGCCCTGGCGCCGGGGGCGGCGGCTGGCGACGAGGCGGCCCCCGTGGGGGCCTCCGTGTGCTACTCGTCCCCGCCCAGCGTGGGCTCGGTGCAGGAGCTGGCTCAGCGCGCCGCGGTGGTGATCGAGGGAAAGGTGCACCCGCCGCGGCGGCAGCAGGGGGCACTCGACAGGAAGGCGGCGGCGGCGGCGGCGACAGGGGCGAGGGGCGGCGAGCGAGTGCCGCCCGCCTCGGGCCCCGGGGCGCTGGGGCCGCCCGCCGCCAACGGGACGGCGCTCCCTTGGCCCACGGCCCCCGTGCCCAGCGTCCGCAGGCCGGGGGAGGAGCAGGAGGAGGAGGAGGCGCCCTATCTGGTGAAGGTGCACCAGGTGTGGGCAGTGAAAACCGGGGGCTTGAAGAAGGACTCGCTGCTCACCGTGCGCCTGGGGACCTGGGGCCACCCCGCTTTCCCCTCCTGCGGGAGGCTCAAGGAGGACAGCAGGTACATCTTCTTCATGGAGCCCGATGCCAACAGCAGCAGCCGCGCTCCGGCCGCTTTCAGAGCATCTTTCCCTCCTCTTGAGACGGGCCGGAACCTGAAGAAGGAGGTCAGCCGGGTGCTGTGCAAGCGGTGCGGTAAGTTCGTGGCCCCCGGGGGGCGGCGTGCGCCGGCGGGGCGCGGGCCAGGCGCGCTGGGCTCCGGGTTCGACGGTGGCGGGGCGGAGGCGCGTCCTGGAGTTGCGAAGAGCTAGTGGGGGGCGCTGCGCGGTCCCCGCAGGCAGCGTTCGCGAGCTCTGCAAAGCGGTGCCTCCTCCGCCTGCCGTTTCCTAGGTGTACCAGTTGGCGAAGTGCAAGTTTGGTCCTCAGTTGAGGCTGCCTGAAACTTTTGAATCCTTTGGGGTTTTGTTCAGCAAGTAGAAGGAAATGTGCCTGCTGCTGTCTTGCGTGTGGGTTATTGAACTTGGCTTTGATGAGGAGCCACTAATTTGGGGTAGTGAGGACTTCTAATGCCTTGAGTCCTTCGTGTGGAGGTGATATGGTTAGGGACGGGTGGTGTCTGCTGACAGCAGGACAAAAAAGTACCAGGACCGTGGGCTGAAATTCAGCCACGCGTATGGCAGAGCTTTTGTTGAAGTGATGGCCCACTGATCGCTGCAGTCCCTATCTTGTGAATATGTGTATGTAAGGCACAAAAGTGGCTTTTATAGGGCAAAATCTTCTCAAGAGTTTTGTTTTCACAATGTTTTGGTTTGGAGTATGGTTTGGCACTTCACTGAATCAGAGCAGATGAACGTAATTATGGAGCTTCATATATAGGCCCCAAAGAATAATTTCAGAAGTGAAGTTTAGCAATCGATTTCCCAGAGCTTTCCCAGCTTTATCGCTGAAGAATAATTTTCCCAGATCTGCCTCACATTACCAGGTTTGAGGAATTACCTGATAATCTAATTATATTTCTGAGGTAGTATTGCATTTATGCCCATTCATAAAATAATGTCTAGGCTCTAAATTTCTATATCATTTCCTGATTACTATATAATCATTAACACATAGCACGGTTTCTTCTCAAATCGTAAATTAGTATGATTACACATTGCAGATTCTAACATGAATGACAGTTTTTTCTCCTTGTCTTTACATACAGTATCTGTCTAATAGATAGTTGGATTAATTGAATTCTCACAAAACTCCACATCATTCCATCTTACTCTGTCTGTCAGGCAAAGTGTGTCAATTCCTTTTACATTTGTATCCCATGTTGGCCAGTTATTTAAATTTCTGGTTGGCAATTGTGGTGCTTGTGTCCTGCAGTTAATTAATACCTAAGGATTTGGTTGAATGACAGGGAAATGCAGGGTACACCCACTGTTCCTTTAGGTTAACAGTGTGCTTCCTGCGTGATGGACCTGTTAAAATTGCACCACTCTGTGGACAGAAGCTGTTCAGAGCTGTGCTGAAGACAGCTGAGTGATGCTGGGATTCCCCACGACGGGCTGAGAGATGTCACTGTACAGCATGGGAAGTGCTCCACAGAGAGCTGTCTTAACAGGGACCACAAAGCCCAATACCATGGACTGCAGCTTATGCTATTCTGTTGGAGAATATGAAACAAAACCTATAAGCCATGCCATTGCCCAATTTTTGTGTGTTTTATATGTGACTCAGGAAGGATTTGATTTTACCTCAAACCATGTGAATTTCAAATCATTTACTACCCATGTAAGAACTTTATATAAAGTGGCTTGTAGTTAGCAGTGATTCCTAAGACGAGGGTACATTGCTAAATTAGCACTGGTATTAAGCCTTTTAACTGGAAACCAATGTGAGGCTTGAGGGATACAATTCTTGTATCTAGAGGGTGTTTGGACATGGAAAAATTTGTTGTCTGGAGGATTAATATTCTACTTTTGCTTCTTAAGGGGAAAGCAAACTTTACTAAAGGTAGGTAGTCTTGCCTTTTCTGTTGGTCAGAGGAAATACACATTTGTAAATTGTGATGTTTTTTAAAAAGTGAGGTTTTTAGTGAACTGGAAACTCCCAGCATATAATTGAGTACATTAAGAAATCATGAATTTACCGCTTTGGGCTTGTGTGATTATTGTGTTTGGTAATTTTAGGGTTATGTAATTTAAAGTGGAATATAATGTGAAACGCCAAATAGTGGCATAGCCAAGGACCAAGGAAAACCATGCTAAAAGTTTCTCTTGCATTTTTACTCTCATAGTAATTACTGCAATATTGGGGGATAAAAATAGACAATATCAACCTGTAGTTGGAATATTGGTATAAAAATGTGTGTGTGTATATGTGTGTGTGTGTGTGTGTGTGTGTGTGTGTGAGAGAGAGAGAGAGAGAGAGAGAGAGAGAGAGACAGAGAGAGAGACAGAGAGCAAGCTTGTGAATTTATCCAGTTGTATGGTCTCAGTTAACAGTGCCATTCAGAATCTACCAGGCAAAAGAACACAGACAACCAGAAAAACTGTACTGAGAGAATAGGGCTGATTTGTTCTGGTTGAGCTGCTTCTGTGTGCTTCTGGCTAGAAGATTTCGGGGAGAGTGATGGAGCAGAGGGTCCTTATCTAAGAACATGAAGCTGCCCTGGGGGGTGACTTTGTGCAGGCTTGAGCCATGATACTAGGCTGGAGAAGGAATATAGCAAAGTCATTTTATGATATCATACCCAGGGGAACCATTTCCAGATCTTGTGCTCTAAGCTGCAGTTGTCTGTGTGTTTCTTACTAGTGTAGAAACTACATATGCAACAGATTAGCCTTAGGGTTGAGCTAATAGAGCACCTCTCTGACACCCGAAACCCAACCCAACCCAATATATACTCCTCAATAATGTCTGTATTAAAAGAAGCTCCACGAAAATGAAACAAACTGTTGATGTGTTTTAGAAGACAAGATGTGATTTCATAGCTTGCTTGCTATATAGTTGAAGTTTGTATAGATTACACTTGCTTACAGTTTAAATTCTTCCCAGAATTTGGCTTTTCTCTTGCTCACTGAATGATCTAAGAAATATTGCTAGATTTTACATTCATCAGAATGCAATTAAATGTATGTCATTCAAATAAGTCATTGTTTGTGCTACAGTTTTATTTTTGAAAACATCGCAGTTGTAGTAGGTAGAAATTGATTTCCAAAGAGCAATAAAATCCATGCAAATGGGCCATGCCAGATTCACATATTGATTATGTCCTCCCAGGCCAATCTAAATATTCTGGGTATAGTGTTATATCAGAATGACTATACATGCATATATTGATAATGTTTGTCAAATATGATAAATGGTACTCACTTTTTGTAATATCCTCAATGACTGTTTATAATAAACCATGCTGACCTTATGGTGCTATAAAAATGAACAAAAAAATGCAGCGATTTTCCATTCAGCATGGAAGAAAATTATTTTTATTAGCTTTATATTAAGGAAATAGCAATAGGAACAGATATAGCTTGACTGATTATATTTTATAAGTACATACACATGTAAATTTAATATCCCAAATGTTTGTGACTGCCCTTTAACTCATATAAATCTTGCTGTCAAAAATCTATACCAGATTTAACTTCTGTTGAGCGAAGAATCTGTGTATGTATTTATTTATATTTATATTAAAAATGAAACCAGGGTAAGTAAGTCATATGGGAAAACAACTCTTTCAAATAAAAATACTTTAAAGAGGAAATTTAAATATTTGAGTTAGAATATTTTACTAGCACTGGGGATAGTTCTTATCAGTGGTGGGGGATCTATAAATCCTCTGGATCTAGGGAAAGTTTTGCCATTCCTCTTAATGCATCAGCTAAGACTGGGAAGCTTAAATAACTCTTAGGATCAAAACAATGAGCTGTACTTCCCCTGGGCTGTATATTTAGAGCAAATGAGAGAGCAAAAGATGTGACTGGAGGAGTTACTGCCCTTGTCAAATATAACCTATTCTCTCTTCAGGAAATCTCCTTTGCTTCACTACTCATTTTCTTCTCTTATTTTTTCTTAATTATAAAAATAACATTTTTTAAAACCTATTTTTACATTTCAGTGACAATTTATAAGCTGGTCAGATGGCCAGAGATCCTCACGTGCTCATCTACCCTTGGCAATGCTTAGGTTTTTAGTGGGCTTAAATGATACAAAAAAATAATCTCTCCAGATAGCTCTTATTGAGTGGGTATTTTGCTTTGCTTTGTATAAATAAATAATAATGAAAACAATAAGTATGCAATTAGAGTTCTTACTCTGTCAAGCAATTTGTTACCAAAAACCATAATAGGCCTTAGTCTAAATTTTTGCAACAAAATGAAATTTTTATCAGCTGTGTTTTTAACTAGCAGATAGGTATTGTGGATAGTTTTCAATGCCCTAAATTTTTGCATGCATATGTTCCTCCGTGTGGTTCTATTATCACACAAAGTTTAAATTGAAATTGCAGTGTTATGAAAACAAGGAAAAAGCTGGTTTACTCCCATCACCACCAAAATACCACTCCTTTTGTAACTTTTGAACAGCTCTTTAGTGATACCCTGTGTTGAAACATAGAGGACAAGTGAATTATCTGAGAATTTGTAGAATACAGGTGCGTCTTCCTAAGTTGAGGGTAGTACTATATTTGAGAGGTCGTGTTTTCAACATTGCTAAATTGTTTAGTGCCATAAGGCTTCCTAGGTTTCCATCCCCAAAGTATCTATTCAGGTTAAGAGAGATAAAATAAGAGATTTTGATGAAGTTGAGAGCTAAAGATGGATTTAGTTGCTGCTTGGGATAGATCCAGTTTTTAGAAAAGCAATCCCCTGTGTTGACCAATCATCCAAGAACTCTCAAGAGAATTAAGTGGTAATTTACATTATTGTTTGTTCTTCTTTAACATAATTAGGATTTTTTTCTCTATGGAAAATTGTTTCCTAGGAAACTGTTGATAATAATTATGCAAACTTTCATTCACCTTTTTAGGTTAGTAAAATACATACTTTATTTTTCATAGTAACTTAAAAATGAAAAAAGAGAAATTTCCCACACAATCCGAATGGTGTGTGGCAGTGTCCTTGCACTTACTCCCTTGGGTTCCTTATGTGTTTCCCCTTCATCTCTATTCCCCTAGACATGACACTACAAAGGAAGCCTTAAGTAAA